AATATTTCTATTCTATAATTTAGAAACTTTGAGAAATGCCAAAAATGGTATTAAAATTCTACGGTATTATAAATTTTAAAAGAAAAATAAGCAACATTACTCATTGGACAAGGAAAAACAGTCAGTCTACTTCGAAAGAAGTCTCCAAACGAGTACCCGAAAAAGCTACGTTCTGTTTCTAATGTTTCGAAAGTTAAATCGTCAGCAATAACAGAAAATCCGTCAACAGAAATTAATTGTAAAGTTTTTGAATACGACTGTTGCAACAATAAATAGAATAATAAACCAATATTTGTAGCTTGAAAAAGCTAAAAAGCATAATGTTCACCAGCTTTTGCCGATGGCTCAGCGCAGAACAATTTGTAGAACTACGTATGAAAACTATATAGCTGGAAATAAATTGAAATACATTGTGACTCTTTATGAGGCATGGGTTTACCAAATTTATTGGAAAAAAAAAAAAAAAGGCCTATTTATCAGCAAAAACGAAGGAAAAAAAATGTACAAGCCTGTTTCTGCCAGCATAAAGAAAGTTTCAGTATAAGGGGTTTATGATTGTTACCGAAATCTCTCATAGTGAGGAATTAAAAATAAAAAGAGTGGGGAAAAATGTTAAAATCAACTCAGACAATTTTAGATCGGATATTGACAGAAGAAATTCCATCTCTTTATCCCGATTACTTTCAAAAAGTGAAATTTCATGAGGACGAAACAACAAGTCATACTTCAAGAAGTACCACTACATTCCTTGAAAAAATAAAGACGAGTATTGCATATATACCTTTTCAATGTATTCTTGCGAAATCTCCTGACGTTTAACCTAGATGAACCATTGGGGCTTTGGTCTCTTAAAAAGAGCTCTTTCTAAGTGCAGACCTACCATGATTTAGTCTGGAAAGTAGTGAAAAAGGAATGGAACACCCAGAAATTTTACACAAACTGCAGATCACTTTTGGGTTACCATGGAAACGGGAAACCAGTTCTCCATTACAAATGATGGTTGATGAAAGATTCGATGCTGATAGCTGATGGATTCTTGAAACCGAACTTACAGTTCTTTGCGAAGGGGAAGAAAATATCGGATGTCTTTTTTTCAGTGTTAAAACAGTCAGGGGAAAAAAAAAAAAAAACTTCAAATAATTGTTCGTCCGAAGCAAATGGATGTGTGATAGCAGTCTTACATTATTGAAACTAATATCGATTTCAATATATACTACTTGAACATGCTACAGAATGTTTTGTTCCGCCAAATAAAAAGATCCGATGTGAATAGCACATAACTTCTTTATATAGCCTTTAAATTACGCAGATTTTTTGCTGCACTCCATTTAAACTTATTTCCTCAAATTATTCCAACTTAATTAACAAAATCCTTAAGGCAAGTCGGTAATGATATCCGAAATTGCAAGTTTTCAAGTTAAATATCTCAGTCAATTGCTGTCGTACGGGAATCAAACTTCTTATAATTTCATTTTTTCATAACGAGTATTACTAAATATAAATATAAGAACAGGAAAACTGTATTGAAATCTAGATTTCGTAATTTGATGAAAATTAATTTTTTTAATATTTAATATTGCCAAAACGTAAATATTTTCGTGATTTAATATCGATAATAAAAAAATTCCAAATTTCAAATTTGGGCTTCCAGATGCCCATATTCGCAGTAGGATTACGTCATTCAAAATTGGATGGCTCTAGGTACCGTTGTTTTATCACACTGCGAGAAACATGCATACATTTATGCAGATTCTTCGTTATTAAATTTCTTCAAATATAATACGGAGCGATAATACTTGGTGGCAGCAGTTTCAAAAGTGAAACGGACATTCAGAGTGATTCGATGCAAAATCGCAAAACGAAAACAATAGTCCCTCAGGGACAAAACCCCTTTGGACTAATAATACAATTAACGGGATGTTAATAAGCCTTATTATTATAATCTAATCTTATGATTTGTATTCAGCGAACTGTTTTGATGTTAATTTTAAGATATCATGAGATGAATGAGCTTTAAGGCATGAGTTGCCTACTTTTAGTTATTATTCATCGTTACTTTAGTTATTATTCCAGTGACATCAGCATCTTAGCAGAGATTTATGAGGTCCTTTATTCAATTCGTTAGAGAATCGGGGGTTTACTAATAAACTATATAACAGTTAATTAGAGTTATCTTTTAAAACTGTTTCAGTTTCTATAATTTTTGGGTAGAATTTCTCTGCACATTTCGAAACATGATTTTGCGTTGTTACAACTTTCATTTGAGTCTGCTGCCATTCAGAGAAATGTAATATATTTATCTTTTAAATTGAATGTATCTATTACCATTCAACAAACGGAGCTATAACATAGGATTTTATTCTTTCATAATTAATCTCTCTATTATTCATGAATAAACTAAACTATTTAAAAGTAGTTCTTACGAGTAATATTCTTTTATTTTGAATTGGATTGATTTGAATAAAAATGCATATATTTCATGATATAGAATTACATTATACGTTTTCCTCTTTTTAAATATATGGAAGATATATAACATTCCCTTGTTTATCTAAATGCATATTCATCTAATATGATATAGAACGTTTGGTTATTCCAACTGGCCCACCTCTATCGATAATCTGGATTGATAAACCATATTAAACTATAAAAGAGCCCTTCTAAGCGATCGTTATAAAATCTGAAAAACTTTCAGTTTTTTTTGATAATTTTTATTAATAATTTTCCATTTAAAAATTAAACGGCAATTTTTTAAACATTTTTTAGATTTTAATGAACTAAAGTGCAAATTTCATTTAATTTGCAAATATGAAATCGACATCCAAATTTTCTGCATATATAGTCAAAAATTCATGTATATGTCACACACATATAAAAAACTTTTGATCAAAAATATGAAAAGTATCAGTCCTATATCAAACTGAATGAAACTTGCTTTGTAATCCTCCCCCACCCTGTCGTCTTCCTTACTGTGATTAATTACCTCTGGTGAGAAAACTAGTTCTTTCAACCTTATTGAATTTTCTTAAAGAGGACTGTTGAATTAATTAGAATTAATTGAACCTGTAATTACTGTATTATTAACAACGTTTTTCTGTTTCTGTCTCTCTGTTTTCCTGTTGTTTTTGCATTAATAGGTATTTAATTCTTGTTGTTGCTGCTAAACATGGCAGCAGAAGCGGAAATGTTAAGAAGAAAACTGAGCCGTTCGATACCAAAACTAAACCAAAATTTTCCTTTCCTTATTAGTAAACGAGGAAATGTTAAAGGTCGTCAACGCATAAAGAATAAATTGCAGGATTTTTTTCCCAATGCATTTATTCTCAAATTTTTATGAAGCTAGTGTATAAATCTTGTTTTTTCCAGACTGATATTTTGCGCTTTAAAATCCTGCTTCTCTAATGAAAAAATTATTACTTTATTATCTCTCCTGTTAAACAATGGAAAATCTCTCTCTATATATGTAAGTATGTTTCTCACAATGGAGAAAAGGATGCGTTTAAAGCCTCCAAATTTGAACACACATAGTCCTCAATCCAAATATGTGCATCTCGAAGCCACAATTTTCAATTTCGAATTTGTTTTTGATTAGTTTCGTGTTGTGTACGAACGCAATGAATTCTTGATTAACAAAATGAGCAGTGGCAACACTGCTCGAAATAAAACAACTTTATCTCCAGAGAACCAGAGTGTTGCCATTCAACAAAATGTAATACTTGTCACTTTCAATCAACAAACTCGACTGTTTCAAAGATAATTTTCCTACTTCTCAATCCGATGGATTTAAATAAAACTGCATTTCAATCATTAGATGTTCAATTAGAAATATTAAATACCTTTTGAAATTACACTAGTTGGAAACGTTAAAATCATTATATATTAAATACCTTTTGAAATTACACTAGTTGGAAACGTTAAAATCATTATATGTTCTTCCTTTTTAAATATATAGTTACTGAACTCAAATGGACCTTAGCCCAGAAGGGCTATTAGTCTCAAAACGCAGCATTTTGAGTCGAATCACTTTAAATATCTAATGACTTTTCAAATTGTTGCCACCAAATTTCATCGCCCTCTATTATATTTAAAAAAAATAATAATGAAGAATCTATATTAATGAAGGGTAAGTTTGCTATCGATGGGCCGGCTCCTTCGTTCAGCCACATTCATTATTTTCTAGTTATTGATAGTAGGCGCTACCTGTTGACTGTTGATTACATGACGCTTGAAAACCGCCATCTTGACTGTGAGTTGATCCACGCTCAAACAAGGTAAGATTTTTGTACTTTTCTTCTATTTATATAAAATAATAGAAATATAGACAGTAAAGAAAATATAGATATCAGTGAGACGTTAATAGTGTTTTAGTTTTTACTGGTAACATTTAAAATTGTACCAAATTAGCGTTATTTGACTATATTAACAATGGTTATGTACTTTGTTATAACCGAAATCATGAACGTATTACGAGTACATACCGACTGCTAATTGATGAGCCAGACTGCGTTGCTATGAATGGGATGGTGGTCCAACCACGGAAAATATATCGAGGCTAATATTTTGTAACGTTTTCAAGTTGTAGAATAAAAGTCACTGTATCTGATTCAGTAAAAAGATATCAGTAGTAACTAAATCTATAATTGGATATTGATTTCATTTTCTTCATTATAAAATTTGACCCCTTGACTTTTCGCTCTTCAAGCCACTGAGCAGTTTTTTTCATCAATGAAATAAAGAAGTTTCTAGAACAGAGAGGGAGAAAAAAGAAATTAGAAGTTGTCACCCATTTCCATATAGCAAGATTGTTTGGGAAAGCGTATGGAAAAGCAGCGACAATAGGAAGGCAATGAATAGTTTTACTAAAACTGGAGTTTGGCCAGTGAACAGAGATGTATTTAAAACTCTGATTATGTTGCAGCAGTGCAGTTTGAAACAAATGATATTCATGTTGTAGAAGTTCCTGACACAAGTCTAATTTCTTCTACTGTGGACTGTCATACGACATGCATGCTCCAGGGAGAAAATCTGTAGCAACGACCAGTGGAACAGAATCAGAACAGCTTCCAGCTGGTGGATCATCGTTGTTGTCAAAAATTAAAGTTTCTTTGGGGGAAATCTCTCCAATGCCATCTAAAGTCTCAGCTGGAAAAGGGTCAAAAAGCCCAAAAAAGCAATACTGATAACAGAAATCCCATACAAACAGATCCTGAAAGAGGCTGAAAGAAAAAAAAAAAAAAAAACTCCCGTTTGGGCGTAATATAAAATCTGAAAGCTTTCACCTTTTTTTGTTATTATTTTATTATTAATTTGCTAATTATTTTAGCCAGGTAGCAGAGCAAGCGACTATTAATAGCAATATTGCATTTGAATATTGGTTCTCAGTGGAATATTATATCATCATTGCTCCCGAAATGTCAATAAAAATTAATCCCGGATTTTGACGGAATCAAACAGAGATACCAACTGAAATAAAATCATTCGAGACAGTTTAGTGACAACAACAAAGAATTCATTTATTTCTATATTAAAGAATCTAAAAGATTGCGGAAACGATAAAGAGAACATGTTCTTCAACTCCTCAACAATACAAAGTGAAGGAAGAAAACCCAACCACGGAACACTGTACAATGCGTTGATTTTACCTGTCTCATCAGCAGAATGTATGATGGATGGGATTTAAATGAACGGTCGTCACAGCTGGTGAGTCGTTTTGTTGCTGGTGTAGAATTTGTATCGGATGGTCGTATCTAATGACAGTTCTTCTCTCACTACTCAGTTGGTATTTCTTCTTTTCTATCTCCTTGCGAAGTTTGAACTCTAAGCAGCAGTGCAGGGTATAGTACTGTACATGCCATGTAATTTAATCTGTTTTTTCTTGTAGTTTTGAGATAAGTTAGCTTCAGAGGTTTTAGGAAATTTGTATAGTTTCTTTTACATAGGTATTGCAATCTTTTTCAGTAATTTGTTATACCTTGTTGATAGGATAGAGTTTCTTCCAGAGAATTTTTGTCTCCGTCAAGAAAGAAGTAAAATTTTTGGCTTGTCCTTTCTGGAGAAACTATAATTAGAAAAACTGCACTTTTTTGCACTTATTCGTATATTGCGATTTCTTGAAAAACATATTCTATGTAAAACAAATAAAAATTTCTTTTTGAACACTTTGAAGAAATATTTATTGGTTGCACTTAGTAGGAACTTTATTTGTAAAACTAGAAGTGCCGGAGCTCTATGGAAGACCCTCAAGAAAAATTAACAAAAATAAATAAATAATAAAATGTTAACATAATTAAAATAACGAAAATTAAATGTTCAATAACACGGAAAATGATAAGTAGTTAATATATATGAGATATAATAAAATTAATTACTCGACCTCATCTTATAGTGACCTCCGGCTGGAATTACAATTTCACTCAAATCTAATATATATATATATATTATATGCTATTTCAAGGGATGATTCTTTTTCCAACACAGTAATGGAAAAAAGGTAAAACGGTTAAAGTATCACTAATGAGAATAGAGAGAATACTAGAAACATTAAGACAATACGGAAGGTAATTTTAGCGGAGATGTTATGAAAACAATGAAAGAAGAGTCCAACACTTTCTGACCATGATCTCCTGCCGATGTAATTCTAGTTGTCAAGTAGAATAGGACAAGGGATCAAATTTCCCCTGAATCCTAGGATTGATCGACAAATTGAGAACAAACATAAATTTTTATTCAGGGGACAATTTTTGATACCCTTGTTACGCAGTTCTAAAACGACTAAAAGTGATCTTTTCCGTGGTCGTAACCCCGTTTCCTCATTAAGCTCGCTGTGTGTGTCGTCCTCACCGCAAAGCGAAAATTAGAAGATTTTCGCGAATTAGTTGTTTGACTTTTTCACCAGCACTCGTTGTCGTAGTTAGAAGTCAATGTTTGGCGGGGAGGGCCTGGAATGGCCTCGAAGTGCCTTTTCTAAAATAATAGGCATTTGGTCGTGCACAACAAGGACTGATCGCTTCTAATAATTTCCGAAATAAAAAATTTACACTCTCACAAATTCTGGAGTTCACTCAATTTCTGGAAAGCTTCTGGTATGGATGGAGATTTTTCTTTTTTTCAAAGTCCCAGCCTCCGTCAAAGGGTTTGTTTCCCAGGAAAGGCAGACATACATTTAGAAGTTAGAACCCATTTTTAAGGCTTACTTAATATCAAAATAAAAATTTCAAGATAAAAATTTTCTGCCGAAAATGTGATTCACCTGCAAGGCTCCAGTATAATACAGGTAGGATTAACGATTCATCTCAAAAAACGAGCGGGCTCCGGTAGTCTCCAAAGCAAATGAAGCTCTGTCACTTATGTAATTGTAATTTTCATGTCCTGACAAAATAAGAAGTATTGCCATTTGAGGAAAATGTTTACTGCAACCTTCCTGCGCAAGAGACCCAGTGTATTTATTGCACAGTTATAGCTTAATTATAACTAATAATTAAGTGTCTTTTTAATACTTAACTAAATAGATCTAAAGGGGATGATAATTCATGTTAAAATATATCTAGCAATTTGTTTCCTAACATTTGGTATGTTTTGAATAGATCATTTTTAAATATACAATTTTCGGATCTGTACCTCGAATTTCTGGGCGTTAACTCAGATACAAAGATCAAATATGACTCTTTTCTTTTTTTCGTTCTTTTTTTCAATTTTATGACTTATATTTTTAAAATGAAATTTCTTTTAACTTTTCAAAATTTCAAATTTATTCATTTGCGAATAAGAAAGTGTTGCTGAAAATGAATTATCGCGATGCGAATACGACTCTTATTTTTAAACGGTAATGATGAAATATATACAGATTGGGAAAAAATATTTTAAGGCACAATTGGAATATACAGAACACTGCAAAAATATTTAAATATTTTGCTTTTAATAAGAATAAATTACAGAGATACGTAAAGAAAATGAGTGAAATGTATTACATCATTGATTGTGAATTATGACTCAGGAGAGAGAGGACGAATTAAAGGCTTTATGGAATAAAAATATCAATCAAGGAGTCACAAATTGTATAGCAAGTGAAGCTGGCAATACTGTGACTGATTTTAACGTTCTGTAATTTTGTTTCCTTCATCAATTTTATCTTAATAATATAACTCAATATATATGCTGATTTTTGTTGCACATATATTTAGATCTCTGAGGTAAAAATATTCTATATGCATGTCGATTTTTGCTCTTGAAATGATTGTAGGCTTTCCTTTCACAAAATTTCTTTTACGGTTCTTTGCATCTGATATCATGGTAGTAGCTCCTATTAAAGATTAATTTTAAAGGCGTTTAAAATCAAGTGCTGTCTTTCATTAGAGCTTCGAAACAAACATAAATAGTTAAGACACTATAACACGCCGAATAAATACTGATTCAGAAGTCAAACAACAAAAATCAGCGTTAATTCACAAAATTTTCACAGGACTAGTTTCGATGGTTTTACCGAACCATCATCTTCAGCTGCAAAAACCGCAAAATGAACAAGATAGGAAATATTTTAGATAAGATAAGAAAGCCTGGACAAGAATAAGCAAGTGGCGCCATCTGTTGGCGAAACCAGAACTAAAACATAATTTCTCTAAAAGCCGAAGGCAAATTTGGATTGGAATTAGGATCGTTAACTAGAACAGAAAGATTTTTATGAATGTGAAATGCCTCTAGAAAATCCAGTTCTCCAATGGAAGATGTTTTTTGAATAATTTTGGCAGCAGAAAAATTGAAAGTGTGATTTTCGGACCAACAATGTTGAGCAACAGAAGACTTCTGTGTTTCCTTTTTTCTAACATATGCCTCATGTTCTTTGACGCGAAATTTTAAGGCTCTCTTAGTTTGGCCAATGTAAATTAAACACATTTTGTTTTCCAAAATAAATATTACAAGCAAACTGAGGGATTAGCCATGGGAAGCCCCCTCAGTCCCATCCTGGCTGATATCTACATGCATTATTATGAATCAAAATTGTTTGAAACTTTAAACTTCCCGGCATGGTTCCGTTCGTAGACGATACTTTTACCCTGTTTGAAGGTAATAAAGATGATTTAAATAGAGTTCTTTCAATAATGAATTCTATTGATCCTGCTATTCAGTTCACTTTTGAACTTGAGACTTGCAATTCTCTTCCGTTTCTCGACATTCTGGTCACACGTAACACATCCAACTTCAGTACTACAGTTTACCGTAAACCTTCATCGGTTTGCCTTCCACCACACTTTAAATCATGTCATCCGACTAAACAAAAGTTAGCTTCATTTTATTCCTATGTTTCCGTTGCTCTTCAAGTTTGCTCCTCCAAACTAGCCCTTGATGAAGAACTAAATTATTTAAAAGCAATAGCTATTGACAGGGGCTTTTCACCCAACATTATTAATCAAGCAGTTAAAAAATTCTCATCTCAACACACTAAAAGCCACACTCTTATTTTAGGAGATTTAATAAAATTCTGTTGTCATTCCCTTCTTTCCATCAATTAGCTATAAAGTTGCACATATTTTGCAGAAATTTAACTTTCGGGTTATTTATTCTCCCATCAATAAAATTCCAACTTCTATACTCAAGGACCCCATTCCGGATATGAATTCCTGGGGTATTATAGGATTCCTTGCCAGTGTGGTTTAATTTACATTGGCCAAACTAAGAGGAGCCTTAAAAATTTCGCGTCAAAGAACATGAGGCATATGTTAGAAAAAAGGAAACACAGAAGTCTTCTGTTGCTCAACATTGTTGGTCCGAAAATCACACACTTTCAATTTTCTGCTGCCAAAATTATTCAAAAAACATCTTCCATTGGAGAACTGGATTTTCTAGAGGCATTTCACATTCATAAAAATCTTTCTGTTCTAGTTAACGATCCTAATTCCAATCCAAATTTGCCTTCGGCTTTTAGAAAAATTATGTTTTAGTTCTGGTTTCGCCAACAGATGGCGCCACTTGCTTATTCTTGTCCAGGCTTTCTTATCTTATCTAAACATTATTTCTTATCTTGTTCATTTGCGGTTTTGCAGCTGAAGATGATGGTTCGGTAAAACCATCGAAACTAGTCCTGTGAAAATTTTGTGAATTAACGCTGATTTTTGTTGTTTGACTTCTGAATCAGTAAACATAAATAG